CCTACTTAATAACCTGAACACAAAGTTACACACAGCCATCAGCACCAGGAGATGAGCTGCGCTTGCACCAGCCCCTCCTAGGATGTGCATAAAACTGATTACATCTAAGCTAAAACCAGTCAGGGCAATGGATTCCATTAAAATCAAGTTCTCAGCTCCGTAAGCCATACTTTCACGAACACTCTCATCTTCTGCAAGTTACTGCTGTTTCCAAAAGGAACAGTACACCTTCCCCTTCCAATTCTTGCACAGCCAGTAGGCACACTGCCATGTAACAAAACTGACAGAGGACACAATTACATGTTTCAGTTTAAAAACTGTTTTTCAGTTTTCAGTTTTCTCTTTTTTCCTATATCTTACATAAATTGAACATCAATATTAATATATGCATCATTTATCCCAAACAGGTTTTTCTTTACCACTTTGTATACCAAAGACATCAGTGTTACCAGAGTCACACTAGAATTTCAAAATTCTTCACCAAATGGAATCTCTCATGTAGGCAGTTTTATAAATCCATAGAAGCAGCAATAGAGCATACCATAAAAGGGGAAGAAAAAGGTTATATGCACCTATTCATTGTCAAATGGTTTAAATACCTGGTGGATGTAATGTGCTAGAATTTCAGGTAGTAGTTTCATCTCTAGCTGTAAAGTTACAAGTAATTTAGTCACTCTTCCAGTGGCACAGCTCCCTATCTGTGAAATGCTTCACTGCTACAGCAAAATGGAAATTAACTCATCATTTTACATGAGAGTGTCTGGTACTACAATAACTTCCACAATAAAATACAAAAAGCCAAATATTCAAAATGAAACCATGTAAGATAACAAAACTGTGGTTGTTTTAAGCAAAAGAAAACAAATACTTCAGATCAAAATTTCCTTGCTTTTTCAGAATTGCCACTGTTACAATCACTGTGCTGAAGTACAGAAGGCAGAACATAAGTCCGCTGCATGAACAGGAGATTAGAACTTTGCTGGCAAAATTAATCTGTATGTTCAGGTTTACCTAGTTGCAATATCCTGCAATATTAGATCTCATTATTAGTTCCCATGAAAGACCTTATTGTCATTGTCCTTCACTGCCAATGAGTTAGGAACGTATTTGAATGAAGAAATATTTCAGGACTGATATTATGTCCTTGTTTAGCCTCAGGGAAAAAAAAGAGCAGGGTAGGAAAAATACTAAAGAGAAAATATCTTTCTCCAGGACAACCAAGCACTGCTTCTATGTAAAGCATGTCAAATGACATATAAACTGAAAACAACTTCAGGGCAGAATGCATTTTTATCTGAAAGATGACAGATCAGCATATCCATTCAGTCTGCTTGGTTTCTGGAGGAACGGTGTTTCATACAGGGACAGAAAAAGGAAACCAGAGATTCTTTTAAAATGGAGAACTCCACATGTTCACAATTTAATATCTGGTTTAGACCCTGCAGAAAAAAATACTGATTTTTACATTTTCTTCTAGTTAAAGGAGAGTAAATCTTGCACAGTCACAGCACCAGACTGAATACCTCTTTTTATAAGCAATCAACCTACTTATTGCTTTCTGATGATGAAATACAAAAATATTAAACTGATAAACAATCTGCCCTCTACTTAGTGCCCACATTAAGCACAAAGACGTGTTTTTACTAATAAATTGGTAATTACAACCTTCCCAAAACAGGTCACATCTCTGCAGTGACATACAGCTCTAATAATTTGGAAGTGTGAACACAATGCATTAAGGAATACAAAAGGATTGTCTGACTGCTACTAAGTTACTATGGAATTACCAGTTAACTCCACATAAGCAAAAAAAAATTGTCCTCTGTACCATTATCTATTTGGATGGATCTGAAGAGATAAAGTCTGAGAAGCTGGTCCCAAGAAAAAAAATCTCACACAGATAAACTTAGCAGTTTGAAGGAAAAAAAACCACAAATAAACCTTAAGTCCTCATAATAACTGAAATAATTGTGGTAAACTGACTTCCATGGACTTACCCCAATGTACTATTAATCTAGCTCTGGGCTTATAAATTAAGACCACTGATAAACATAATGGGCACTAGAGGCAACTACAGCATGCTGAGGAAAACCCAGAGAGATAGTTAACTTGCTAGTATCATCATTTGCCAAAGAATCCTGCTTCTCAAACAAATTGCCCTCTTTCTAGGGCTTCTGCTCTTCCATGTAACCACCATGGCTAAACAAAGGCCATATTACACACTGACCACAAAAAAAAAAAAAAAAACACCAAAAAACATTTAAAGGAAACTAAGCATGAAAAATTCTTAGTTCCAGGCATGGCTAATAATGAGCACTAAAGTACTGTAATCTTCCTTACACACCACTTCTACTCTTATTCATTCAGGCCTTTTCTTGGTTTGAACACCCATTCAGTGAACATCCACTCCTCTGCCCATTATTCTAGCACTTGTGCTCCGGTAGACTGGAAAAACAAAAGTCATTGGGGTGAGTATCTGAAGCAACTGAACAGGGCCTATCGGCTGATGAGTCCATGACCACAATCTAAAAGAAGCTATATCATTTCAGGATAGTTCCTGAGTGCAATAATCAAAAAACAGCATTTTCACTCAGGAAATGCACAGCTGCAGCAAGAAAAAACTCATAGCCAAAGGCCAAAAAGAAGGTCCCAGGATGACCTTGTCCTCTCCTAAACTGCTACGCTATGTAAGTCACTGCTGTTGACCCTGTAATGGAGACATGCTGCACATGTTGCACTACAGCTGCTGCTCCACAAGAACCTCCTCAAAGAAGAAACCACTTACACACCTCTGATGTAAGAAGCTGAAGTTTTTTTCTGAATAGCTTTCATTTTACACACTTCATATGTATGAGAGCTTACTGCCATAGGCCTGCCACTCAGTACACCATTGTACATCAGGAATACCACAGAACAACTTCCTAAATCACAATACAAACAAAGAAGGAACACAGCGAAAATGAAACCCTTCTCTAAAAGGACGCTTTTTTAATGTGCTCAAAATGTAAAAATGAAAGTGGAATTTGAGTGTGCTCTAAGTAACAACCCACTTCCACCAATTCCTGTAAGCATTAACTTCTGCTTCTCAATTCCACTTGAATCATCAAGGTCCTGAGGCTGTTTTTCAGTCATCAATTACCTAAGCAAATGCTGACCCCTGTTAAAATTCAAGGCTGGAGAATGTAAGGCCCTCTTCCGTTTCTCACTGAGCAAGTGCCAACACTTTGTTTCAACACCGACAAACCAGTTTGTTTGCCATCAGTTATGTCCTTAGGCTTTTCACTTTATTCAGCTCAGAAAATGGAAACAATAGACAGGTTTGACTTCCTGTTTCCCTTGCTATGATATTTGGTTTAGAGAACAGTTCAAAGTAACTTTAAAATTCAATCATTTTAGTTAAATGATAGTGTCTCTGTTAAGTAGTTTTTACTGTATTGATTCAAAGGAATCTATTCCACAGCAGGTACTGTAAAAAAAAAACACACCTTTATTGATGCCAAGAGAACATGCAGAAATTGGCACCTCTATATGCATGTCTGACTGTGGTTCCTTTTATACAGGCTTTTATAGTTCTACAATTCTGGCATCCACCTTTTTTTGTTTCTTTATCTGAAAGGTACAGTTTTAAGGGCTGGGATCTTACGTAACTTGTGGTTTCATTATCTTAGGGTTACAAACATGGTAGATAGCTCCTATCATATTCATCACAATTATCCAACTGGTACGATGCTTTATTGACTATGTTCTTCTCTTTTCTATCTATTAAAACAAAACTTAAGACTTTGCATTCTTCTCGCCTTTCATGACAGTTAACATGCCTCCCCCTCCTTATCACCTTAGCCAACCAGGGCTAGGCCCTGCTTGCTAGTGATTACAGTTAAACGTGGCAGTCACACCTTTAAGGTTTTGTGAATTCATACCTATGCTAAGGTGCTTATGTCACATGAGGTGTTTCAATATCAATCCTTTCAAAACTGTCTTAAAACCACATCAAAACAAAGCATATATTACAATATTGAAGGCAAACGTATACTATGAGCAACCCAAAAATATATAGGTTCTCAGCTACTGAGTGAAATATTCTACTTCACTGAAAATGACTGAAGTTGTCCTTTCCTTTAGTAGGAAGTGGTAGGTAGTGAGGTGGGAAAACATTTTTTGGAGCAACCCTGCAGCCTGGGGACCATCTGGGAGTCTGGTCCTACAGCCAGATCCCAAAATATGCAACTATTTAAAAAAAAGGAACCAAAAAATAAATGCAAAACTTCTTGCTACATCAAATTTTAAAAATCTAGCTAATTAGCACCTTTTTAAGTAAATTATAACTAACAATCCAGGAAAGAAGAAGAATGTGTTCAAGTTTCTACATATATATTTCTTTTGAAAACTGACAAGCACAACAAATGCTGAAATATATTTTGAAAATGTGTGCAGGTACAATCCAATTTATAACCACAAGCTTGGATTCACTTAAAAATAATATTTAAACATTCAATACAACATTTTTTTAGCCTTCTAGGTTATACTGACATTTCATTTAATTTCGTCAACGGCAGACAGCCTTGCATCTGCCATGGGACCAAATATGGCTCTCATGCATTGAAGTAAAATGCTGATGTGAAATTTGGCCTGCCTGTTATTACAATCGTAACTTTTCCCAGCTTTTTAACATGAACTAACTTTACACCATACATTGATGCCTTTGCAATTTTTCTGTTAGGTTTACATATGGCAGGAATTCTATGTCTCTATATAAATTGGGAAAAAAACAAAGACATAAAGCTTCACAGAGTAGGTCTCTGAGGAATGAGCCTCTGACGACTAGCATCACCTTTCTCATCACCTCCCTCAACAGCTCTTCCTCAGTTTACGCTTGCACGAAGGCTGATGATTTAATCATCCTTACAAAAGATAAGGAAACAAAAAAACCTGGCACACTATTGAACCACTGCATTTTACTGCCACCAGGAAATGGAGTCATTAGTGTAAAAAAAAAGTACCTTTTGGAGCCTCCGATATAGGTGAAGGTAAAGGTGGAGTCTGAGTACCTGAAATCTGAAAGACAAAGAGCTGATTTATTACAACTTGTCCTGATTTTGGCTGAAGTACCCGAGATTTTACGGAGCAGCATTCACCTCCCAACACGGGGGCGGTGAAGCGAGAGTCGGGGTGAGCCAGAGGAAATGCAGCATTTCCCCCCCAGCCCCTCGCAACAAGTGCCCGGTGCTATGGCAACGGCAGGGAATTCCATTGTCACACACGGCAACAGGCAGCCGACAGCCGGGCTCCTGCGACGCCTCATCGCGACCGGCACCGCCGGGGCGACGCGAATCCCCAGGGAAGGGCGGTGGGGGCCGCTGGCACGGACAGGGCCCCGTTTGCGGCTGGGTGTGCCACCGGCCTGGGCTGGGGATCAGGGCAGGCGCCGAGGGCGGCCGCCCGGTAAGAGCCGCGCAGCGGAGCCCGGCGAGCCGCGCTCGGCCGCGGGCTGCACCCGGCGCTGCGTGGCCGCCGCGACGCTCCCGGCTCGGGATGCCGCCCTCCCACCCCGCCCGCCCCCTTCCCGGCCGGCGCCTGGTCTCCTCTGCCCTCATATGCCCTCGGAAGGAGAGGAGGAAGACGGGATCTGAGAGCGGCCCCGCGGCCGGGAACGGCGGCGAAGGGCACGGGCACGGCGGGAGCGCGGTCTGGGGAGGGCGCGGCGCCGGCGGCGACGGGAGCCTCCGCGCCGCCAACCTGGCTCCCGGGGACAAACTCACCTGCAAACAGGCAGTCCTTCTCCGCCTTGCACTTTTGGATCACAACGTCAATATCCTTCTGAATCCTCTCTTGTCTTGAACACATCCCCATGAAATAAATCCCAAGGGAAAAAAATAGCAGCCTTTATTTCCACCCCACCCCCACCCCCCCCCCCCCCCCGCGCTGCCAGGGTTTTTTTAAGATTCAGCCCGAAAGAAGAAGCCCGGGGCTGACGAGCAGGAGCCTCCCCAGCGGTCCGGTGAGATGCGTTCGGCCGGTTGGAGGACGTCGGAGGCAGGCGGCGGGAGCCGACGTCGTTTGCCCAGATACGCCCGCCCAGATGTGCCGCCGCTGCCGGCGAATGGCAATTTCCTCACAAGGGATCCAGCGGAGGGTGGCGGCGGCGACACGGAATTCCCCCACCCCCCCACGCCCTCTGGGTTTTTTGGGGTTGGCTGGCTGGTTTGGTCTTTTTTTGGAGGCGAGAGAAAAATTTAAAAAAAGGGGGGAAAAAAAGAAAAAAAGGGCGGGGGGGCCAAGCCGACCCGGCCGCTGCCGCTCACATCCCTGCCCCTCCCGCCAGCAGCGGCGATCGCCGCGCAGCAGCGGCAGCGGCAGCAGCGCGGCGCGGAGAGCCGGCGGCGGCACCCGCACCCGGTCCCTGGCGGCGCGGCGGGGCCGGCGCTTGCTGCAGCGACGCCGAGCCGCAGACCCTCCCCTCGCTCCCGGCCCGGCACGTACGGCCCCCGCCGGCTCCCCCGGCGGAGGCAGCGCGGGGGGAGGAAGAGGCGGATGCACAGAGCCCGGCGGGCGCCCCGGGAGCCCGCGATGGTCCCGGCCCCGCCGCCGGCGCTCTCCCCCGCCCGCCCCGGCCCCGGGCACAGGCTGCCGCCGCCTCCCGAGCAATGGGGAAATGCCAAGAGCGAGCTCTGCGAGCGGCGGGGCGGCTCCCCGGCCGCACCGGGGAGGAAGCGGGCAGCGCCGTGTTGCGCAAGGCCGGCGCGGGCGGGGTGGGGGAGAAGCGCGGCTGCGGCCGCCGGGGGCGCGGGGCCCGCTTCCCTCCGTGACCCGCGGGAATGCCGACCCGCGCCGCCCTTCCCGGGAGCGGCGGGGCTGTGCGGCCGGGGCTCCGGCTCTCCCGCCGCCGGTCCCCGCGCCTCTTCCGCGGCGGCACCGCGGGCAGGGCTGTGCCCGGCCGTTCCGGGCAGGACAGCCTGGCAGCCCGCCCCTGGCCGAGTGCCGTCTGCCGCCAGCCTCCCTCTCCGACTTGTCGACGGGGTGTGTGCCCATGGAAACAGTAAAAGGAGGATCTCTGTGACCACCGTGGTGTTAATTTGCTCTTCTCCCTTCATTCTCCAGCAAAACTGTATCGCAGACCTAAGGGCTTCGGGAGAGGGCTCGGGCAGTCCAGTCCCTAGCAGTGGGTGCTCATCTAATTTACAGGCTTGGGGTTCTATTCCAGAACAAGTAATGACCATAATAAAACTTGGAAGGAATCAAGTCCGCAAAAACAGGTATTCTTCCAACCCAGTGTAATGCTTATGATTAATAAAACCAGGTCTGAAAGTAGTAGAAACAGATTTGATGTAACATTGAAAGAATATTCACAAAATTCAGGTTTTATGTATTCACCCTGCTCTGAACAGCTCCTATGGATTATTCATTCATAGTGTGTGGGGTTCTTCATTCTTGTGGGTGGGGTTTTCTTTTTCATTTGGGAAGTCTGTATTAATCATGTATTAGTGATTTCAAACACAGAAGACAATCAGTATTTTTATGAAAAATCAACTCCATATTTTTTTTCTATCTATAGGAGGGAATAGAAGGGAATTTTAAATTCATCACCTGATAAGACTTTCTGCCTCTTAATAAAATAATTTATCTTGAAGGGAGACTTCAGGTGAGTTTTCAGTGTGGAAACTGCACAAGACGACTTTTCATGAGAGTCTGTCCTAGGATAGAACTTACTTACAGTTAGGATTCGATTTTTTTACCATGAAAGCTTCTACTTTTTTCCTTCTGCTTATCAGGGAGCACCAGGCTAATGCTTTTCAGCAGATTTATATGAGGAACCCATGGCAGGAGGTTTGGAACTAGGTGATCTTCAAGGTCCCTTCTAAGCCAAATCATTGTATGGTTCTATGATTTTATTCAGTAAGTCTTTTCCAAGGCATACAGAAATTGTCACTATAAGTCCAAATACAAACTATGGTAAGACACTGTCATTCTGTAAAGTGATGCAACATTGGTTAAGAAGTGCTGCTTCTTGAGGTGTTTTTCTAGCTCTTCTGACTAGAATATCAGCAGCTATGTTTGCTGCCTTCCCCTTCATCACAGTTTAAAGACTTAATCAGGACTTGATTTATTCTAGTGGGGTTTTGGTCCTGAACTTTGTAGTGAAAGGTCTCTTTTATCCCTCCCAGGTGGATCAGGAAAGAGAGAGGTTATTAGCCAGTTGCAGGATATTTATGCTGACAATTCTGCTAACAGTTTATTCTAACCACAGGGTTCTTCTCAGTGTCATGTCAATTAGCACAATTCTTGACTGCCTTTTTAAGCCTCTGACTGTTTTCATAGGCTTGGTAACAGTGAATTGAAAAGTCATCCATGAACTAAAAACACCATGTTCGAGAAAGTTAGTATGTTTGGCTTCACAGCATCAACTAAACTGAACAAGGAATATGCAAATATGGTAATTTATTCCATTAATTTTTATTTATTGTAAGTGGCTCTTAAATTCCTGTTTTCTTAAGTCAATTTGACCTGATAACGTCACTACAGTTATGGCAGTAATTGCTGATTTCAGTAAGGAAAAGCTCAATCATAGTTTGAGGTCATTCCAGTTATTAAAATACTGAAAATTAGGTGTTGGAAAGTCAAGGTGAATCTACAGGATTGATCCCTAAATTTGTAAAGATTGACAAGGTGTTGGCATCCAGGTGCCCTAAGTGTTATTGCAAAGGTATCTGTATGCATGCTTTAATCCCTCCACAGGGGATGTAGCCCCTGTGCTGGTTTTGGCTGGAGCAGAGACACACAGCCATGAAGAAACTTCCTGGAGAGCTTTACAAGTAATTTCACAAACAATAGGACAATTGGACTTGAAAGTAATTGTCGTGGCTCAAGTGAATTCAAGATATGTCTTTTTAGTTGCTTTTCAGTCTTAAAAAATGGTTCATGTCACTTCTAGTTTTGTCCCAAGCTCAGCTCAGTTATATTGTATTGAACTGATTAAGTAAAAAAGAAACAAAAATAACTTTTTATGTTAGTGCTCCCGGAAACCTGAAAATATTTACAGAGGTGTAAATGAAGTGAAAAGAAATTAAATTAATTGAGGTACATGATTAGAAAACTTATCTGAGAAGACTGGTCCAAAATGTAACACAGGAAAATAAAAGAGAAACAGCACAGCAAATGTGTTTCAGTAATGCGTGAACAATGAATGAGAGGAAATGCATAGGTCAGACAATTTCTGCTCATAAATGTGTTTTGTCTTTTTTAGACTAAGCAGATTTATTTAATTTTATGCCAGAAATAACTCCCCTTCCTGCCTATTAGTAAAGACGTTAGAAATACTTCAGTAAGCATCAGGACACCCTGTTTTCTCCCCAACTCTCTATATATTTTTCTAAATGTGTTCATGTGACATATAAGCACACACTAGAAGTCTTAAGAAAAACTGAAAAAAAAACCCCAAACTTGAAAGCTTGCCACTGTAGGAAATATATATAACTGAGGGCAATGGTATTTGGCATCTGTCTAGTATCTCTAGTGCAGGAGAGCGTTCAAAAGGGCAGAGGTTAGAATAATAAACCAAAACCACAAAATGGTCATCAACACTCCAAAAAGGAACAAAAATCTTTCTCCACTTTTATATGCTCCAAATAAAGCTAGTACAAACCAAACCTCTTAATTTTTCTCCAAGGTTCAGGACTATCTGCCAGTCACCAGTAAAGTGAAACTCAGAAGTGTCTGAAGACAGTGACCTCCAGGGATAGAACATGTAAAGGATCAAAACCATTCCACTCCTAAGGCATAAAACACAATGCTACCCTTCCAGCAAGCTTTAAAAATGACACGGTTATTTCTAAAGCAGGCCGTCCATGAGCCAGCAGTGTGCCCTTGTGGCCAAGAAGGTCAGTGGTATCCTGGGCTGCATTAGGAGGAGCAGTGCCAGCAGGTGGAGGGAGGCGATCCTGCCCTCTCTGCTCAGCCCTGGTGAGGCACATCTGGAGTGCTGTGCCCAGTGCAGGGCTGGCTCCTCAGGACAGCAGAGACATGGAGCCCGTGCAGCACGTCCAGCTCAGGGCTACAGAGCTACCAAGGGACAACTTTTGAGGCCAGGCGGAGGGAGCTGGGCCTATTCAGCCCTGGAAAGAGACAACTGAGAGGGGACCTCATCCCTGTCTGTCAGTGCCTGCAGGGAGGGTCAGAGCAGGGACCAGGCTCTGCTCGGGTTTGCCAAGCAATAGGACAGGAGGCAAGAAACTGATGCACAGGAACTTCCACCTGAACATGAGAAAGAAATTCTTTCTGATTGCCCAGAGAGGTTGTGGAGTCTCCCTCACTGGAGATATTCAAAAATGTGAGCTAGCACTGATCCATTGATAAAAGTAATTTACTTGAAAAAACAAAGTTAAAATGTAATTAATAACATGACCTAAAATACTGGTTCAATTCTTAATAAAAACTTCAAATATTTTTTATTTTAAAAAGTAATGTCTTCAATTACAATATGAAACAATAGCGCTTATATATATATATATATATATATCAGCTGTCCAACCCTCAGTAAGTTTTTAGGAATTATTTTAAGCTGTCTCATAGCTTAGGGAAGCGTAAAAACTCTTACATTAC